GTTCGCCACATTTTTCCATAAAAAAATTGAATATAGTGGTTTGAGCAATAGTGAAACGCGTACAGTTCAGTTCATAAAATTGAAATTCAGCATCGAGCCAAAAACGGTCACTCGGTGTTGTGTTACGGTGATATTGCGTTACGTATGTGCCGTACTGAGTGCCAGACGTCACCATTTGTATTATATATTATTACCTTATTACGTTATTGTTTTCAAACGTATTTGGTGTCATGCCAAATATGTTGACCAATCAAGGTCAGAATTAGATTGTTTTTGAAGAAGAATCCAATTTATTAAAAACAATGTACAACCAGAACCGTGAATCACAAAAAAAATTGATACAAAAATAAAATGACACCCGGTTTAACAATTGGTATTGGTATTACTCAATAAACTGGTAGGGCATATTTACTGCCGTATTCGCCTACATGTATATATAAGCTTTCATAGCAGCAGGCGAAACAGTTTACTAATAAAGCTGATAAAACTTCAAAAAATATCTCTTCTATCTTCTACGTGCTGTTTTGCATGTACGACTCGTGTTGGCGGGCTTTAAAAGTGCAAATCGCAGTCATATCACGGTATGAACTCAGGGCGTGACCTGGTGTACGCGAGACTTTTGTTTACCGTGACCTCCGTGACAAGACTAAACCATGGAATGTACCAAACCCCAACGCATTCTACTGAATTAAACACCATGATATGCCATGTTTATTGTAAATTGCAGAGAATAATAATGGCGAATAAGCCAAACAACTATTCTGGTTATGGTTCCTTTCTGTCACAGCAGCATTTCATTCATCCCATGACTGAACCCCCGAAAAAAGAAGGCCCTGATGAAGATGTGGCCTTCAGACTACTTTAAACTGATATAAATAAAGACGAAATGAAAAAACAACAACAAAGGTTGTCACAAAACCATTCAGTGTCCCGATATCTGTGTATTTGCGATCAACATGTTGTTCCCGTCATAATAACAAATAAAACCAAATTTATTTTAATAATGAGAAAAATAGTATACGAATTGTTGATGTATCTTTGGTGGAATCTGTTTATTGCTATCTGAGATAATAATAATAATAATAATAATAATAATAATAATAATAATAATAATAATAATAATAATAATAATAATAATAATAATAATAATAATAATAATAATAATAATAATAATAATAATAATAATAATAATAATAATAATAATAATAATAATAATAATAATGCCTTTATTGAAATCACATCCTGTTCAGGATCTGGATTTTTAAAAAACAATAAAGTTTCAAATACATACAGAATGGCAAGACGAAAAATACAAATGAAGACATAGTGAAAACATAATAAAATAAAATAAAAACGGAGAAAAAGGAATGGTTAGAAAAACAAAACAGAAAAGGTATCTTAATAAGTTATATCAATTATAAAGCAGCTGGTATTTTTTGTTTATGAGTGTCATTTCTTAAATTGAAGCACTCAAAGATATATTTTGCCAAATGAATTAGTGATTGTTTATCTTTTGTTTTTAGAATGTCTACAATGTTTTC